GATTGAATGTGAAAACCAGCGGTCCAGGCAGAACCAGTTCCAGCACCAAGCGTTCGGCTGAGTTCGTGAAGCAATATGCTACGAAATATGAGGAACTACAGCAGCCACGCTCTTGTCTGCGCGGGCGTGAAAGTCTCGCAAGGATGCGGAACTGGGTCAAGCACACGACACAGACGATGAATGCGTTGGACACATCTCTATACGAGACGTTGAGGCCGGCTTGGCCCCTGTGGCAGCGGTGTTAACTTTGTCTCCGGCTGAGAAAGCTTTGCAGCTGGTGCAGCAGAAGCTACCTGTGCTTCAGTCCACTCACCAAGACGGAGCAGAGTATGCAATCTCTCCAGATCAGTACAATGCTGTGATCCTCGCCATCGCGCCCTTACAGCGCCTGTGGAACAAAGCCAACGAAGCTGGACTGGCTCACTGCTTCGGAGATCGCACTCGACTTGACCCGTTGTTGGCTTTGGTTGAGAAGGATTACGGAGTCCAAGATTTCGCGTGTCCACGCGCTTCCATCGACGAAACTAAACGTCTAATGACATAAACATCGCTTGTAGCAAGGATACATGATTTTTGTATTTTGCATAGAGAATGTAGGACTTCATTTGCGCAATGATCACACCGGGTTGGCGAAATATGGATTTTAGATTGGCTTGTTGCGTGTTCCTTTTGCTTGTGCGCCCACGTAGGACATGGTGGCGCGTATTTTTGCGCATGGACCTGGAGGGAGCGGCAAAACTTTCATGCTGAAAGAAGTCATCCTCCCGGTCTACAACGAGTTTCTACCTGGGACCACCCGAGGGGTCGCTGCCCAAAACTCTGCCGCTCGACTCATAGGAGGAAGCACGTTCCACCATATGGCTGGTCTCACACGGGCGCAAGAGCTGTTGCTGCAAAAGCCCTCTAAGACCAAGAAGGAGGCTTTGCAGCGTAAGTGGTGGCGGCTTTCGCTGGTCTTTGTTGATGAGATTAGCTTGACTGCACCGAATTTGTTGGCAGTGCTGCACGGATCGGCCTGCTATGGTCGTTTGGACCTGTCTCCGGAGGATTTTCTGAGTAACATTTTCGGCAATGTCTTGTGTCAGATTTTGGCTGGTGACTTCCTGCAGCTGAACCCCGTGCGAGCCAGATCCCTCATGGAAGCCTTCGGCATTGAAGTTCCGGGGGTGCCTCGATACGAGAAGATGGACGACCAACAGCGCAGGAAGAAAGTCGACATCGATGAACATGGACTTGCAGTCTTTCGCGCCTTTCTGAAACAGGTCATCTTGTTCAGAGGCTCTCACCGCTTTCGGAAAGGAGATCCGTTGGCCGAGCTCTTGGAGACGATGCGAGTGGTCGGAGGTCGTCCCTTATTGTCTACAGCTCTGAAGGAGGCCATTCGCAAGCAGGTGTATCGCCCGCTGGGAGGCGATCCTCGTCTGAGCAACGATTACACCATGGCTTCAGGTTCCACTGCGCCCACCGGTCCTCCAGGTTTCTTCGCGCGCGGTGTCTCCAGCGCAGTGAACTGGGACCAGGTAGCTCGTCTCCAGCAGTTGTGCGCATACGAGTCTGCTCGCGCAAGCTTTGGCGTTGCAGCTTTCCGCAACACCCAGACTGGACGTCCCCAGCTGATTCGTCGACACTTTCCGACGTATCTTTCGAAGTCCTTTCAGTCTCGCTTCGGAGCGTTCTTCGCCAAGCAGGAATCCTTCTTGACGTCGTTGCTACATGACAAAGGTCGTCTGCTCTACTACGTTCAAGCAGTGGATTTGGTGCATCAAAGTGAGTTCACCAACGACAAATCCATTCTGCGCGAGATTCTGGGCTTGACCAACATGGCAAGTAAAACTGGCAACCTCATGTCGTTTCTACCGCTGCACTTGGGCTTGAAGGTGAAGGTGACGAAGAAACTTTTACCACCAGAAATCGTGCAAGAGTGTCCGGCCGAGGTGATCGCCATTCAATTTCATCCCAACGAACGCTTTGGCGTGCCTGGCGCGCCCGCTGGTGGTGGAGTCCCCGCGGGGTCGCATCCGTGCTGGGAGACTGGATATGTTCGCCTGGACTATCTCCCTGCCTCGATTACCTTGCGTATTGAGGCCTGGGCCTGCAGCTAAATATAATCTGAACGTCATTTATACGCGGATATGACTGAAGACAGGTGTCCTGCACAGTTTGTGACCATCGTTTTTTTTGGACAGTTTAATCTAACATTCTGTAGGACCCATACATCTCTGAGTCACACCTGACTTGCAACAGGATCAGCAAGAAGATTATACCGGACAGCTTCTGCCTGGAGTGTGGCATTTAGAACCGAGTGAAGATTCTTTCCGCGTGCAATTGCATCGCAAAGGAGCCTTGATGTTGGATGTTACTCGGATACAGTATCCTCTTGCTCCGCTGGCTGCTGGAACCTACAACAATGCCCAAGGCAAGACCATCAAAGGAGTTGGGCACACGATTGATTTTTCGAAGCCAGATTATTTTTCGGCAGACGATTATACGCAGCACTTGTACATGATTCTTGGACGCGCTCAAGCTCTCGAGTATTCCTTATTTCGCAATTTGCCGGAGACGCCAGAAGGCGATATTGATTTTTCGATCTTTGAGACTGGTCCACCTGCGTATATTGCCGAGCTTTTGGATCGACTGGAGGACTCTGATGTGCTTGTTGGCTTGTTTAATGTGCTATATTGGATATCCACGGATTGATTCACCCTGCTCGAGTGATAAGATATGAAATAGCATTCCATCCGCAGGCGCGTGTGTCGATCTTGTATCGTTGTTCGCAGGAGGTTGCGCTTTTGTCTCGCTCCGCCATCGAAGAAGCTCGCAGACATCTGCCTGGTTTTCCAGCCGCGGAACACCTACCGCGACCGGCCCGCAGAACACCAGAGGGTCGCTTTCAGTACGTCCCAGGGGCTTGGACGGCGGCTACGAAGGCGAGCGTAGTGACTGAGTTCAGGGGAACCAAAAGGAAGTACGACCCCACCAAGTGGCGTCAGCTGCGAACGGATTTCTGCGAGATCTGGTCTCTTTCGCTGGAAGAGGTGGCCACTCCCACGGCACAATTTTTCCGAGAACACGGGGCTCTGCGTGTCTTTGCCGCCGAAGCTGGTGGAGGCGGCGATTGCTTCTTCTTGTCCACTGCGGTCGTCCTGATGCAGGCGCGAGCACTCCACCCACGACTCTTGAATCTTTTCACTTCCGATGAGGTGGCTGACTGGGACGACCGAATTACGGTCGCGGCTGCTCTCCGCAAGATTGTCGGGCGACACATGCGCGCCAAGACGCCAAAAGCATTCTTGAACTTCGTCGTAGGGTGTTTGGTGCGCGAAGCTGCGAGGACATGGCTGGACGACTGGTCCATGATCGCACTCTTGCGTGGCTCCCCTTTTGCTTTCTTGAAAGACGCCAACGATGTTCTCGGAGCAGAAGTTGCAGACGACGCCATGCTAGTTCGCTACAAAGAGGGCGACAGCTCCGTGACGAGGAGCAAGAGAGTGCGTTCTGGCACTGCGGCCCTGGTGTCTTTGCAGGATGCCGTGAGCACTTCTCTCGAAGCTTGTGGGAATGCTCATTGGGCAACAGACGTCGACTTTGTTGCGTTGGCCACGGAGCTCAATCTTGGCTTCATCATTGCTGGAAATACTTGGACCCAGACGTCTGTTGTTCGAGGCTCCGGTGACACATCTAACAAACGTGTGTGCGATATATCCATACGAATGTTGGACCTATAGGATAGTTTTCTTCACTTCCGTTGTGTGTGTGTCTCATATACTTCTTGTCGATGCAGGCGAACCACAACAACGCACGGTCTTGCACTCCTATTTACAAGAAGATCAGACGCCGCAATTGTGGATTTCTCTGTATTATGTGGACGGTTATCATTTTCAAGTGCTTATTTTCGAGATTTTGGGACAATGCCATTGTTTCTTTCGTGCCGCGGATCTGCCAGACCCTTTACGCCAGTGCTTGATTTGAATGCAAAACAAAAATCCTTCATGATGAAGACAGAGCTTGGTGGTGAAGTCCCCAGCGCATGCTGCCTTGGTGGTGGAGTCCCCAGCGCATGATGTCCAACAACGTGTCAGAGAGTGAAAAAGAGATTCCCACCGGCTGTGTCTCTTTTTATACACAGTGGTTTGACGTATGTGTTTGCATTCGGGTTCGTGGGCTCCATCTTGTTCTCTTTTTTGTATCTCTTTCGATTTATCTATCTATCTACCTGTCTACCTGCCTGGTTGCTTCCGTCCTTTGGGTATGTTTACTATCTATATGTACCTCTACTACAATATCTTTATTTGTGCATATATTTCTATCTCTATATCTCTTGTTCTCTCTATCTCCCTGTGTGAAAATGTCCATATGTAAGGGTCTGACGCATGCAGATGAAGGAAAGGACATGGTGGGGAGATGCAGAGTGTGAGGGTCGCTGGGGGTGGTTGTGGTGGTTGTTGTACTTTGTCTCAATTTTTTTTGCCATTGTGGTTGTGGTGGTGTGTGTTGTGGAGGTTGTGGTTGTCGGTGCGTTGATCTTGTTGTTGTTGTTGCTGTTGGTGGTGGTGGTGGTGGTCCTGGTAACGGTAGCTGCTGGTAGCTGCCGGAGAGGTTGTTGTGGAGGTTGTGGTCGTTGTGGCCTAGTAAGCGCTATCAAATTATTTTGAAAAAACGAAGACAAAATGGACTAATGATATTAGATTCTCCCGAAAATAGTGGAATTACCATGTTCCTTCAAAATTGTCTTAACTAACCTATAGGGTAGGTCAACCAAAAGGTATCCTGATGCCATGACCCACAGCCAAATGAGGACCCAATGAGGAAGGGTATTTTGTGCACATCAGTTCTTGGTTCCGCATTGCATGCCGCAAATGTTTGGAGTCGTCGCACCTGGTCTTCTGAGCGTTTGCAGGTGTCTTCGTCGGTCCAAAGTCCACGGCGAACACACGAGCATGGAAACCACCGGCTGTCTCGTGTCCCATGTTTCCCATGTAGCAGCTTGCAGACGAAGTGAGGATTCTTGCGAACAAGTTCGAAGCCTCTAGGCAGCAATCTGGGGAGGCAACTTGAAGGTATTATGTGAAGGAACTGCCACAGCCTCGGCCCGACTTTCAAATACAGAATATGGGACATGACCCGAAGAACAAATAGGTGCGACTGGGGCCAGAACCCCATTTTGTAAGGTACGAGTTCCGGGTCGACTCCAGGTACCTGTTCAGAAGATCGGAGCTGACGTAGTCGAGGGGGCCGGCGTAGTCGGAGACTGATCCTGTCGAGGTGGAGGCTGAAGCACCTCCATATAGCGCCTACAGATCCCTGGTTTAGCTGAAGAAACAACATCATTCCATGGAAGGTTGATGTAACCAGGGCCCGGGCTTGGTTGTTGTCCCAACATGATCCAACATGTTCAAAAGGAAGATCTGAGTTCTTTGATATTCTTCTAGATGTTCGCTGTGGACTAGTTCCAACTCCGGACCATCCGTGTATTTAAAAATCCTAAAATGTACCCTACAACCATGTAGGTAGTGGATTGTCTGGGAAATGAATGCGATGTTTGAAACACCCCAGGGTGACGCCACGTCTCGGGGCTGTGGCTCGGGACTTCTCCATCGAGGTCTTCTTGGGAGACTACGAATTGACTTGGTCGGATCACGCCAGGAGAGGATGTTTCGGAGTCAGGGTGGGGGTGGTGGGGGTGCACACTCTGAGCCAACATGAAACCCTAGGGATCCGCAGACCATCTTAGAAGGTACGACTGGACCCTCCTGGCACCTGCATAACAGTGTCTCCAATCACCGTACCTCAGAAGGTATGCGGATCCATAGGGGTGGTGCCAGGGGGGTCTTTCTGGGGTGGCATCTCCAGTCATTCCAGTCCCGATGGATGGTCGACCGGTCGACACGGTCGACACGATGCAGCGGAAGAGGTCTGAATCAACTGAATCAACCACTGCTAAGCTAGTGCAAACCCCTGGAAATATCGTGAATGGTCTGAGAAGATGGAGAGCGTTACGATCCAAACAAACACGGAAGTGGAGTTCATCCTCTGCTTGGCATTCGGATTTCAAGGTCTTTCCAGGGGTCATGCCATCCACTTCCATGATTGTTGGAGAGCGGGTTGGGCCACGATTGATCTTCTTTTTGAAAGGCCAGGCATCTGGTTTTGGATCATATATCTCATAATATGGTGGATTATGGTGGCCCACCAACATCATGTGTCAAAAAACCTAAGCGGCCTGCCAACGGGGTCTCTCCGCCCTCCGGGTCCCTGTGTCGGATCGACCGATTTTGGACAGTCGCCCAGTCCATTGGCTTCGTCAGACCTCACTTCGTTGGGTTCCACGAACTTCGAAGGTTTGGGCCACAAACTTCGGTACGTCATCCATTCGCATTTTAGCTGGAGAAGGCTTTGTAGTGGTTCCAAAACCTTCAGGTTGGACAACAACGGTGCGTGCTGCGTTTGTCAGTGACAGGCAAGCTGAACATAGAATCACGTTCGCACCACTCACTCAGCACTCCAAAACTCCATAAAGTCGAGACCTAACTTACCCTACACCTCCAGTCGTACCTCCTTCAGAAGGTATGACTGGACCCTCCTGGCACCCACCCCAGTCCCACCTTCTGAGAAGGTACGACTGGAGGCCTAGGGGATCAGAAACCATGCACACTAGAAATACTTGGATGTTCAATTCAATGAACCACAAAGGGTTACACTCCCACTCACCAACATGGATGTGGAGTTCACCACCTGTTCATAAAGCAAAAGGGTCTTCCGGTCTTAATTCCCCCAGCCTATGCCATTCACTTTCCCTATCCCCTGGCCTGATCAGCAGTCCTATGTCAGTCCTGATCGGCCTGGTCTGGATTTGGTGACGGTTTTCAGGGCATGTCATCCGTCACGTCATCCTCACAGGACGCAATTGACTCTATCATGGCCTTCCAACTACGAGCGCTTTGTTCTTCTAGGAGATCGGTACGTTTGTCGCCTTGTGGAGCTAGGTCAAACATGGAGCTAGGTCAAGTTCACTGACCTATGGAAATTACATGAAATTATTTTTGTGTTGTGTTCTGATGACATCTTATACTTATACTCTCATAACTCCTATGGGTCCAAAGCCCTAGGCCTCCAAGTACCTTATCAGAAGGTGGGATAGTTAGATCACCGGAAATCGGACGTGAGATTGTTCTACCCAAAGGGTGGGTTACCGGCAAGTCACCGTTGTTTTTTGACTACCCGTCAAATCCAGGTGGAACGTTGGGTTATCCCTAGGCCTCAAAGTACCTTCTGAGAATGTGTTTGGGGTGGGTTTGGAGGGTCCAAATACATCCTGAAGGAGGTACTTGGAGGTGTAGGGTATGTTTGCTTATCTCTTATGTTCCACCCACCCAGGAAAAGTGGATAACCTGCAACACCTTTATAGGGATTTGATGGGAATTGGTTTCCAACTCAACAAGAACGGGCGGAAAGTTTGCTTTACATAGACACTTATTTTCGGAAAGGGGGTCTGTCCAGGGAAACTGAGTCAGTCCAGGGACTCAGAGGGGAGTCAGTCCAGCTCAAGAGTCATCCAGTCACTGGAGGAGATTTGAATGGTCAGATCTTTTTGGAGCGACTTGCCAGTGGAAGTGGGAGTGGAACTGGTGACAGAAAACCAGCGGATTGTTGGATTCTTGCACCAAACCAACTAACTACTATATACATGTTTTGCTAGATGTTCTAGCTTGGAAGTTGAAAGACACTATCTTGCCCAATAAAAGAGGTGGAAGTTCCCTTTCAGGTCCCCTAAAGACAATTCTTTTTCACTGGTTTTCTTCACTCTCACGAATTGCTTTGCTGTGATCGTGGACGGCTGTTTGAACGGACCTGCCCCAAGGGGAGCCGGGTGAAAGCCTCATCAACATCCCTAGCGCTCCAACCATATCCTCAGAAGGTGGTTGGACTCCCCTGGCACCCACCCCAAGCCCTAGGGCATATTGGTATCATCTGGAATCAGTGAGACAGTGACGCCTCTGTGAATCAGATCTTGCGAAAGAACACCCAAGTGAATCATTTTGTCAGCTCACGTGTCATCTTATTGGGAATGCAGACACTGGCGTCGGGTCGAGCATTGGGCGGATGCGCATGGTGTTTGAAACCCGAGCTGATTTCAAGCGATGTCAGCGCAGATCATCCGACTTAGAGGCTGGTCATTTCTGGGTTGATCTTATGATTTGCAAGGCAATGCCAAAGCCTAGTAGGGAGACCTACTGTTTTCAAAGGAATCCTGACCACATCAGGTAAGAGGTATTAAGCTGTGAGGCTAGCGGAAGTACTGGGAGGAAGTTGAGTTGTTCCCCACATCTCTGTGTGGGGTTCTAGTTTTGTTGGCTGCCATCCCGCCCGCATCCGTCCTTCCGTCCCTCCGTCCTCCTCGCCCCCTCCTCCACTCATCACTCGCTCACTCACTCACTCACTCACTCACTCACTCACTGCACACTCACACTCCCAGCAGTCTCCAGAGACTTAGTCACTCACTCACTCACTCACTCACTCACTCACTCACTCATTCACACACACAACACAAGATCTCACCACTCACTCACTCACTCACTCACTCCATCACTGACTCCGGCTCTCTCCGCAGTGTCCAGAGACTGCAGAAGGG